GGAAGCTGGGCCAAAGAGAGAGAGAAAAAAAAAAACTGCAGGAAGGTCGCCTCGTCTTTTGAGTGGATAGCAAAACTCTGCCAGGGTGAATTTTGCAAAACATCAAAACAAATTGTCAAACAGGGCTGAATTTTTTTTGTGCCGAAGAACATGTTTGCCCTACAGAATAATTTTTTTCAGCTCAATAAGACGCCATTTTCATTTTAATTCCGAGAACTTTTGTTAGAACCCTTGTATACAGTAGATGATGGGGTGAAGAAGTACAGTACAGTAGAGTACAGTACATTCAGTAATTCCAGGCGAGAGAAAACTATTTTACACAGCAAATTGTTGCAGTGATTACATCAACGTTTGAATCTGAGACACATTCGAATTAGTCTAGCATCCAAATCGATTCACTTCTCACATAAGAAAGGCATGTCAATAATAATCTGATAAACGCAAAAGCTGATTCGAAAGTTGGACCCCAAGATGCGGACGTGAGTGGTGCTTGTACCTTGTCCTTATGTCAAATTGTCCGCATGTTGAACCTCGTTTTCCCCATAGACTTCTATGCAAACTCAGTTGATTGTTTCTCCAGTTAGTCAAAAATTAGTGATGAGTCCTAGGAAGAAATCAATAAAAATTGTTAACACAACTTAAAGTTACAGAGTGGAGAAGAAAATCACATAGAATCTGATATTTTGGCATGAAAAGGAACCTAACGAGCACGGAATGAGAATCAGTCTTGGTTGAATGTGCACAGATAATTTAAAAAAAAAAACTTCGAAAAAGAAGCACGAAATAAAATAATTTTTGATAGTGAATTAGAGTAAATTACTGTACATGGAAACATTTTCCAATTTTTGCGAATATAAATACAGTAACTCGACCATTATTTTCCATGCGTTGGAAAAAACACAAATACTGTACGTAGAAGGGGTAAACAGGTTTCTTACCCCTCTTCAAAAAAGAAAAAAAAGCATCGGTTCAGTAGAAAGACTAGTAGTAGAGGACTACATTTCCGAAAAATCTATTCCTGCCCAGAAACCGTCTCTCTCCTCACACAGATGGCACATTCCGATGAAAAAAGTGGGCAACTGGTAGGACATTTTCTAGAAAGAGGGGGGGGGCATGAAGTTTATTTCCAGTGGGAAAGGAAAAAGTCATCAGCACCCGGTGTTCCCAGGCGGTCTCCAGAGGACTACATTTCCGAAAAATCTATTCCTGCCCAGAAACCGTCTCTCTCCTCACACAGATGGCACATTCCGATGAAAAAAGTGGGCAACTGGTAGGACATTTTCTAGAAAGAGGGGGGGGGGCATGAAGTTTATTTCCAGTGGGAAAGGAAAAAGTCATCAGCACCCGGTGTTCCCAGGCGGTCTCCCATCCAAGTACTAACCAGGCCCAACGTTGCTTAACTGCCGTGATCGAACGAGAACGGGTGCTTTCAACGTGGTATGGCCGTTGACAACTCCGGATGCCAAAGATGCATTACTAAGAACCACAAAATGCAGCATAAACATCAAATCCAATAAATCAATCAGCAATGCTTGCAGTCGTACCTCGCCGAACAACCGCATCCCCTGATCGCCCTGGTGAACAATTCACATAAACATACCCTTCAACATTTTCTTTGGAAAAAAGCGCCCAACAAAGTATGTTTCGCATAGGAAAATTCTGGGCCTGCAGTAGGTGCAATTTTCTCCCAAACATATTTTAAAATTTGCATCTCAGCCTCAAAATTTGTGGATACTTTTCCGTAAGCTAAATTTTTTTCATTTTTCTAAATCAAAAAGATCCGATTTCGTTGTGAATGCACACATATCAGAATAGAAATAATCAAATTTTTCAAGTACTGTACAGTACATTTGTCAAGGGACAGGCTAACAGGCAAACGCCTCTGGTTTTTGGGGACGAAAAAGGAAATGGATCAAAATAAAATTTCGAGCAGTGCTATACAAACTCTCGCGCTTTTGACTCTGCTCAGACCGCTAGTTGAATGTGTTCTACTGTCTTCGAAATGTAGCTTCACAAAATGACATAAGGTTCGCGATGATTGAATACGGACACAAATCAAATTCATTCGCTACCACGTTCTCTTCTTCAAAAAAATTACTGTATGTTTGAAACAATTCTGGCCATATGCAAATTTTCACGGTCGGAGGGGGGGGGGGGTAACTATTACAAAATTTCAATTATCGCTTACATCAACAAATCTTTCTATTAAAAACATTTCGAAGTACTGAAAATCCGCCATCAATATGGGCCTTCACGTAGATGGGTTGGTGTAATGCGAGACTAGTGGCGAGAGTCGGAAATTTTCGCAGCTTTGAAGTTAAGCATTCCGCTCAAATATTCCGCATAAAATCGACGTTTGAAGGATAACTGTATCAACAGAAAATAATAATACACGGCTATACGATTACGATCCATTAAAAAAATTGGAGCAAATTAATGTCGTGGAATGTACTTTTTTCACCACATCAGTGAGGAAAAAGTCAATAGCACCGGGTATTCCCAGGCGTTCTCCCATACAAGTACTAACCGGGCCCAACGTTGCTTCACTGCCGTGATCGAACGAGAACGGGTGCTTTCAACGTGGTATGGCCGTTGACGACTAACACACCCCAGATGACAGGAATCCATTCCACTACTGTACAGTACTGTACATCGGTTTTCTGAAAAATATCTTGCTTGTAAACTACAGTATGTCAAAAGTTATGTTTCAAGGACTATGTGATCGCAGGGAATATTGAGTCTCATTCAAATCGGACGTTTGTTCTGTATGTTACATCAGTGATCCCAAAAAAAAATCACTCATCAAAAAATTAACTCATGTAAGTCACAAATGGAACAAATATTGAAGCCATTCTAGGATCACCGTAATGGTAGTAAATACACGTTATTTTTCATCAGTTCGAAGAAACCTAAACACTTAAATCTGGCACGGTTCTTCTTTCTTTGTTTAAAAAAGGAAAAAGCATCCACTGTTCAGGATAGGTCTCACAATTGAAAATACTGTAATGTTGTCATGAACCTTTTTACCTACCTGAAACGCCGAAGCAATAAAAGACAAACCATACGGCACGTTTTGTCAAGAAAAATTCACACATTCATTTCCTGTGTGACTGAGCAAAAGTCAACAGCACCCGGTGTTCCCAGGCGGTCTCCCATCCAAGTACTAACCGGGCCCAACGTTGCTTAACTGCCGTGATCGAACGAGAACGGGTGCTTTCAACGTGGTATGGCCGTTGACATACGCACCATCGAGAAAAGCAATAATATATACTGTATCACACAATGGAGTAGTCTATTCTCTACTTCAAGTTCTGCAGACGATTGTTCCACAGATTCATCACATCTGCTTCCAGGTAGCCTCCTACACTTCCAAGTTTAACATCCGCTCGACAGCGTGCATTAATACCGGTATAACTGTCCTTGGCAACTTGACAGTCCGCTAACCGTCATATTCAAAAATCACAGGAACCATTTGGAACCATCAACACACAACGAAAAGTAAGAGAACATCGCCTGGAGGTCTCATGATCAGCTCACCCAAATGATGCGAGATGGAGGACAATCCGAAACAGTAGAAAGGCAAGTAGGTGTTCGTGTGGCCCTGGTTCGAATGACCGTGCATGGACAAGTGGTACCACATGGGCCACCGGTTCCACTCCGCTGTGCAAGTCACCACACTGGCGGGGCATTTGGCCAAATGCGATCCTCGCTCTCTTCTCTTCATCAATTTCCTGCATCCGTTCACTGGAGAAAAATAAAACTCGTTAAAAATCGACGATCCCATCGAAAGCGATTC